GTGCCCTCCCCCCCCCCCCCATAGCTAGCAATCCAAAACAGTCCAGTGGCACCTTTAAGACCAAGTTTTATTCAGGTACAAGCTCTCCCTCCTCTGTGACGACAGATCTGCATGTTCCCCCCCAACCCCCAATAGCTAGCAATCCAAAACAGTCCAGTGGAGCCTGAACGGTGGGTGTTGCCTTCTGACACACTTCCGGTAATGTCAGGGTGTGTGGCATATGCAAATAAGTTATGCTAATGAGTTATGCTAATGAGCTCCTGCACCTCTTTTTCTACGGAATGACCCCTGCCAACAACTCATATCTGACTGTGACACAGGGTGGGGACCCCGGACACAACCAGTGAGGTTTAAATCGGCCCTTAGGAGTCTGTTTTGGTAAGTCCATTGTCTCCTTAGAAACGAAGACAATTGGGTCACCCGCCCCTGTGCTTCCATCAACAGGCATTCATTTGCCACAAGACTGACACCCAGACTCACCAGCAAGCCTAGAGGTTCTCTGTAGTTCCCAGGTACTTATTTCTGATTGACAGTTTTCCCCTCAAGGGGTGACTTGGTGTGACTTGAACTCCTACCAGCAACACTTCCTGGCGACACAATGGCGGGTCTTTTGCAACTCACGGCCTCCATTTCAGGACTGAAAGAGAAGGTTGACGTGGCCGACCAAGGACCTGCCAGCAAAGCACAGCAGAATTCTGTCTATTCTACCTGTCTGTTCCCAAACATCCCGCCTGTGTAACTTGGTATTCTACATTCCGCATTTCCATCACTCCTTGCGCTGAATGAGACACAGAATTGCGGTTTCTGTCTCTGGAGAACCACAGGGTGACGTAGAGCGCCTCGAAGAAGGCATGTCTGAGAGTTAGAGAGACCACGACTCGGTGGGATTCTCTGGGCCTACCACCCCTGTGCCAAAAACTGTCATCAGGAGGCCCATGACACTGCGGTACCTCTTCTTTGAGAGATTTTTTTTCCCCCTCCCAATTTCTTTTTGACACTTCTGAGGATGGATTTGGAAAACAAAATAGTACACATGCCAAGTTTCCCCATAGCCTAATTCTTCATTCGATGACACCCAGGTTTCTGGGAAACTGAAGCCTCCTACCTGAATTTTCTGGTGGGGTTCCAGAAACTTACCAGCAAATCCCTTCCCCAAACTCAGGGACACTACATAAGCAAGCCTAGCTTGCTCCTGAGCATTCAGCCATATACCGCCATGAGGTCCGGCCTCTTCTTCCTTTCTTTTGGACTCCTTGCCCTTGAGGCCAACCTGCCTCGGACTTCTGGCCAGAATGTTACAGGTGAGTGCTCTGCTCTCTTCACACACTCCTGAAGGCCTCCCCTCAACCTCTTTTCTTCCATGTGCCAAGCTCTTTCTTTCGGCCAGGCTCCCATTTCAGTAGCTCTCTTCCTCTCCACCCTGGGCCAGTTCTTTCTTTTTAACCCATTCGAGGGAGGGGTTTAGTGTCCAGGCTATTGCCGCTTCTGGCCAAGCAAGGGTGGCCTAGTCAAGCCAGGCCAAGAATGCCTCTCCCTAAACCTCTCCAGACCAGTGTTCCCTCTAAGCTGAGTTAGTGTGAGCTGGCTCACAGTTTTTTAGCCTCCAGCTCACAGATTTTTGTCTCAGCACAGGAAGGATGGCTCCAGAGCAAACTAATTTATGAAGCGCCAAATTGCTTGCTCACAACTTTGATGTCAGTAGCTCACAAAGTGGGGTTTTTGCTCACAAGACTCCACCGCTTAGAGGGAGCATTGCTCCAGACCTTCTCCCCAGTCCTGAAAACCTAATACTGGTGATGTCAGGGGCCCTAGGACTACATTACCCAGAATTCTCTGAGGAGACTGCAACAGAATCTTCAGAAAGGAGTCCAAGTGAAAGGGGAAGAGAGAGAGACACTGCCAGGCCCGCACTGGACCTTGGCGGGCCTGACTGGAACACACCGCATTGGACAAGAAGCAGGAGCACCCCTGACCCAGTTCCAGAAAACGTCCTTCTCAACGACGTTATCTCCTTCCCCTTCACTCTTCTGATTTCCTCTGTCCCCTTTTAATTTTAAGCCACCCAGGACCAGTGTTCCCTCTAAGCTGAGTTAGTGTGAGCTAGCTCACAGTTTTTTAGCCTCCAGCTCACACATTTTAGTCTCAGCTCAGGAAGGATGTCTCCAGAGCAAACTAATTTATGCAGTAGCCAAATTGCTTGCTCCCAATTTCAATGCCAGTAGCTCACACACTAGAATTTTTGCTCACAAGACTCCACAGTTTAGAGGGAACATTGCCCAGGACTGCACCAGAATACTCAAGTAATCCAGATATTACTTTATGATGGCCCCGTTCACACGAGGGAATTTGGCCCAGAAGCAGGACGGTTTGGGGGCGGTTCAAACTGCCGCGATCACACCACAACATCTGGGAAGCGTGGTGCTTCCGTCCCCAAACCGGCCCATCCATGGGATAAGGCGCATCAAGTTGGAACCACCTACCGAGGTGGTTCATCGCCTTGGTGCGCCTCAACCCGGGAGTCTGATCGCCGGCGCGTCCTTGCGCCAGCGCTTCCTGGGCTCCTAGCCAAACTGCGCATGCTCTGACATGCGCAGTTCGGCTGGCCGGCCGTCAGCTCTGTGTTTTCTCCCCGGCGTCTGATCGTGCCGGGGAGAAAACGCGGCGCGGCCAGGGGATCCGTGGGATCCCGCCGCGCCGTGTCAACTTTGACGCGGCTTTGAACAGCCACGGTTTGTGCCGCTTTTTCCCCTGCGTGTGGCAGGGGCCAAAGACTATTTTAATATATTTTTTGTAATTACATTCATAACGTCTTTGTTTCTCATGGTTACCTTGGTTATGAAGTGAGATGCAGAGCCAGGGGGTGGGGAGCCAGATAGGATTCCTGCTCTGGCCACACAGTTTCAGAAAGGGGGAAGAAATGAGGTTAATTTAGGCACTTGAAATGTAATGCTTTCCAAACAGATGGTTCGGCTTCTAATTTGACAGGGTGCAACCGAGCAGAGCGGAAGCAAGAAATTGCAAGTAGATAAATAGGCACCGCTTTGGTGGGAAGGTAACAGCGTTCCACGCGCCTCGGCGTCTAGTCATGCCGGCCACATGACCGCGGAAACGTCTTCGGACAGCGCTGGCTCTTCGGCTTGGAAACGGAGATGAGCACCGTTCTCTAGAGTCGGATTCGACTGGCTTTCGAGCAAGGGAAACCTTTACCTTTAAAGCATTTGTTACGGAACTATAGAACTGGAGACGCTAAAGCCAGTCTGAGAAAATCCGATCCCTTTTTCTCTGAGTTCATATTTGCTTGGAGACCTACCCATTGAGACACCGTTGCAGCTATTTATATTGTTAGATAGTCATATGATATCACATGGAATTAATAATTATGCAGTAAATTTAGTATTATACAGATGATCTCTACAGAAGGCCCCCTACCCTGATTCGGCTGATCTGGCCATTTGGGTCCTTGTTATGGTTACTTCAAGGTAGGCTACTGTAATGCCCTCTACGTGGGTCTGCCCACAGCCTTTTTCTTCAAACCTGATGATCCTTCTACAAACGGAATCAATTTTCTCAGGTAGTAAAGTACAGTAATGACAGAACACAACTGCCTCCAGATTTCAATTCTTCAGCATGGATGTACTCCCACGACCTATGAAAACTGATTCCGTTTGTAGAAGGATCATCAGCTTTGAAGAAAAGGATCGTTTGCACTTGAGCAAGAGAGTTTCGAAACAGCTTTTGTCGATAGCTTGTTGGGTGTGGATCCTTTCTTGCTACAAGCTTCATCACCCGAATGAAGTCGGGAGGAAGTGAACTTTTTTACACAGTAGGACAGTTCTTTGGAAAGTTTTCCGATGTCAGATTTTTCAAGCATCTGGAATGGACATTCTAAAGACTGAATTTCGGCTTTGGGTTTATATGTGGTTGTGTATGTATTATATCTTATTTATAAAAAAGGTAAAGGCTCCCTTGCTCGAAAGCCAGTCGAAGCCGACTCTAGGGTTGCGGTGCTCATCTCCGTTTCAAAGCCGAAGAGCCAGCGCTGTCCGAAGACATTTCCGTGGTCATGTGGCCGGCATGACTAAACACCAAGGTGCACGGAACGCTGTTCCCTTCCCACCAAAGTGGTACCTATTTATCTACTTGCAATCTCTTGCTTTCGAACTGCTAGGTCGGCAGGAGCTGGAACTAGAGACGGGAGCTCACTCTGTCATGCGGCAACTCAGGTCTCGAACTGCTGAACTACCACAGCCTGCAGTTCAGCGTCTTAACCACTTGAGCCACCGCAGCTCCTAATACTATACTTTACTATCTTATTTATACTTACTGTTATATTTGGGATAAAGCACACTTATAACCTTGATAATTATATGAGTTTATTGCATATTTTTGCATGTTATATCCTCGTTTCAGTTAACTATTCATAGCCGTGTCCTGTTTACGGCACACATACATGCCTGCAGCCCCCTCTTGGTCCCCCTTTCGTAGAGGGGGAGCCGAGAAAGCCAGGCCCCGTGGGAAGGACTCAGCCACCGGCTTAACAGGTTGGCTGCTGCTGGTTTGTCCTGGCTGCCCTTCTGCCCGTCCCCACTGCTTCACTTGAGGTCTTGTGAATCCAAGAATGTTGTGGGGAAGAAGTCCCTCATCTGTCATAAAAGGTAAAGGTTCCCTTGCTGGAAAGCCAGTCGAGTCCGACTCTAGGGTTGCGGTGCTCATCTCCGTTTCCAAGCCGAAGAGCCAGCGCTGTCCGAAGACATTTCCGTGGTCATGTGGCCGGCATGACTAAACACCAAGGCGCACGGAACGCTGTTCCCTTCCCACCAAAGTGGTACCTATTTATCTACTTGCAATGTCTTGCTTTCAAACTGCTAGGTTGGCAGGAGCTGGAACTAGAGACGGGAGCTCACTCTATCATGCAGCGACTCGAGTCTCGAACTGCTGAACTACTGACCTTCCATAGCCTGCAGTTCAGCGTCTTAACCACTTGAGCCACCGCAGCTCCCACTCATCTGTCATACAGAACGTGTTTTTGCCCTTCTCTTCTCTCCCTTTTCCCACTCTCTGCACCATCCAGGGGGCGTTCCCCGCCTTCTGACCACCCAAGGCTTCCCCCGTCCCTTAAGAAAGATGCCCTTAGGGGAAATAGACAGCTTCACGTGCCTGGTTGAAGGAGTCGACCCCGACAGCCTCTCGGTGAGATGGTTCCGCAACGACGAAGAACTTCCACCAACTTCCATCGACTCCATCGGCAGTCCTGTGCAGACCGAGATCCCAGAGGAGCTCTACACCATGAGCACATTGCACATCCCTGTGGAGGACTGGACTGAAAGAGATATCTTCACTTGTACGGTGGAACTAAACGCGCTTCCCTCCCTGAGAGCTCGGAGGACCGCGGACAAGGACACGGGTAAGCAGACCTTTGGCATGGCCTCTGTAGTGCCGCTTGACCCTTGCCACTAAGCGTCGCCACCTTTACGCCAGAGCACACACCCCTGCTCCCCTCGTCCCTCCGCACCTCTTTCCTTTCTGGTGTCTTTCCTTGTCTCATTAACGGTTCTTTGGCAGGAGGGAGGACGCGTTAAGCGGGATCTCTAAAGAGGTGTCGCTTGAATGTGAAATCAGTCTGCCCCCAACTTTTGGAAGAAGAAGAACTTCAGAAGAGGGCAGAGCACATCTGAAACTCAAACATGCCGTCTTCCTGAGTCCCCTCTGGGATTTCCCGTGGGTGCTCAGATCTTCACCTGGGCTTGGCCTGCACTGCAGGCCCCGGCTTCTTTCTCCCTCCCATCCTTTTCTTGCGCTCCTTCGGGGGGCCTTTCTCCCCCCACGAGACCCATCAAGAGTCATGGCCAGATCCAGGCCGGTTGTGGCAGCGGACTCACTCCACTGCTGTCCAGCCCAGCAGCACCGCGCCCCCACCCGCCTCACCTTGCCACCCTCCTCTGTCCCCACGGGGCTGTGAGCAGCAGAGAAATCGGGGAGTCAGGGCCCCACGTTCCGCTAGGAGGGTCCCCCTTCCCCCCCAATTTCCCACAGGCCAGTGGGAGAAAAACGGAAGGAAATGGGGGAGTGCGTGCCAGCATAACAGAGTTTGTGGCAATGTCTGGAGCGTCCCCCCCCAAAGAACACCATGGCGAAGAAGTCCCTTTCCTGTCATAAAAAACAGTGTTTCTACCCTTCTCTTAATTCCCTTTCCCACAATGCACCATTCTGGTGGCATCCCCACTGCTCTGTAAACTGGCTGTGCAAGGAGAAGAGGGGAGGCGGCGTCCCCACTGCTCTGTAAACAGCTTCTCCCCTCCCTCAGAAAAACTGGCTGTGCAAGGAGAAGAGGGGAGGACAGAGGGAGGGAGGAGGAAAGGAGAGGTAGGGGAGAGGGAAATGAGAGAGAGAGAGGAAGTTGGACTGGATGGGCCTTTGGCCTGATCCAACATTGGCGTCTCTTATGTTCTTATGAAAGGGAGAGGAGGGGAGCAGAAAAAGACGGAGGGAGGGGAAGGGATGAGGGGAGGGGAGGAGAGAGAACTGGAGACAGAAGTTGCCAAGCAGAGGCAAGGACTGGAGAGAGGAAAGTAGGAGCCAGAAAGAGGGGAAAGGACCGGGAGGGGAGCTGGGGAGGAATAAAGGGACTTGCTTTTCCCCACGAGTTCTTGACAGCGTTGAGTTGGACATTTATAATGAGGCTATACTCGGAATGGGAGCTGCGGTGGCTCAAGTGGTTAAGACGCTGAACTGCAGGCTGTGGAAGGATCGGTAGTTCAGCAGTTCGAGACCCGAGTGTGCCGCATGACGGAGTGAGCTCCCGACTCTAGTTCCAGCTCCTGCCAACCTAGCAGTTCGAAAGCAAGAAATTGCAAGAAGATAAACAGGTACCCCTTCGGTGGGAAGGGAACAGGTGTTTAGTCGTGTCGGCCACATGACCACGGAAACTTCTTCGGACAGCGCTGGCTCTTCGGCTTGGAAACGGAGATAAGCACCACAACCCTAGAGTCGGATTCGACTGGCTTTCGAGCAAGGGAACCTTTACTGTACCTATACTCGGAATGAGAAATGAAAATCAGGAGATGGTAGGCTCCCGGACTTTCTTTAACGTGGCGCTTCTCCCGTATCTTAATGGGAATGGTCCTGGAGAACAACCCACTCCATTCCTTACCACAAAATCATGAGTACCTGCTGTCCATAACACACCACGCAGGAGGGCTCGGTAGCATCCGTGAACATGATGGCTGGGAAGTATGGGGGGGAGAGTATTCCTGGATTATGAAAACAGTTCAGAAGAAAGCATGTTCCAAAGTCTCCCAGTCTCCTTCTCCCAAGATTCCTGCCTTCCTCTACAGAGTCCCGCTTATTTGGCCTAAAAACAAATAACCATTCTCTTTTCTTTTCTTTTGCCCACCATGCTCTGCTTTTTGGCCCTCGACCAGAAAACCCGTCGGCCTCTGACAAGTCCCTCTTTGGGCCACGTTTCCAGGAGGATAAGAATAATTACGAGGTATCCTTTGGCTGCCTCACGCAAGGACACCTGTCAAAATACGTCACTCTCGTGTGGCTCAAAAACACCATCCCCTTTACAGATGATGTTTTGTACACAGGGGAAGGTGGGTTGCCCCCTTATAAGATCACCACATTTACAATATTGGCCGAGGACTTCCCAGGAAATGACTTTTCGTGTGTCGTTGGACCAAACAATCAGCAAGGTCAGCCCGCCCGGAAGGCCAGCGAGAAAGCTCAGGCTGAAAAATAAAGACCATTCTCAGTCCAATGCTGATCTTCTTCGCCCCGCCACAGAATTTTCTCCGGCGGCGCTGGCTGATCAAACCCTGTGGAAGAAACCCTCCGCGTGCTCCTCTGTGTTCGATGGCTGAATAAAAGTTGAACCTACCGCATCAGACCCAGATATTGTCACTTGTGGATGGTAAGCAGGCGGCCTCTCCAACACAGGGAAGAGGCAGTTCCTGTCATAGGCATGATGGGCCCAGAGACCCCACCACCTCCCTTTCTATAAGATGTTAGGAGGTACTTCATAATGTATCGCTTTACTTCTTCCTCCCTAGGCCCACTCTGACCTGCTGTAGTTCTCCAAAGACATAGAAGGAGGAGGAGGAGGAGGAGGAGATTGGATTGATACCCCGCCCTTCACTACCCGAAGGTGTCTCAGAGCGGCTTACAAACTCCTTTCCCTTCCCCTCCCCACAACAGACACCCAGTGAGGTGGGTGGGGCTGAGAGAGCTCTGACAGAAACTGCTCTTTTTCAAGGACAGCTCTTATCAGAACTACGGCTTGCCCAAGGTCATCCAGCCAGGTGCAAGTGGAGGAGTGGGGAATCAAACCCAGTTCTCCCAGATTAGAGTCCGCGCACTTAACCACGACACCAAACTGGCTCTTTCAAAGGAGGTTATGTGTGATGACGGGGTAGCCATGGTTTTGTTGTTGCCAGGGGTCATTTCGTAGAAAAAGAGCTGCAGGAGCTCATTAGCATAACTTATTAGCATATGCCACACCCCCTGACATCACCGGAAGTGTGCGCCAGCCCCTCTGACGGGCAGAAGCACCTGGGATCCATTCTTTCCCTCCTCTCCCTTCCCTTCACCTCCAAGTCAGGCAAAAGAAAAGGTGAAGGAAAAGGGGAGGGGGTGGATCTCAGGGGCTTTTGCCTGACAGAGGTGCTGGCGTGCCCACAGCCAGCCTATGTGAATTATAGAATCATAGACTCATAGAGTGGGAAGGGACCTCCAGGGTCATCTAGTCCAAAACCCTTCATAATGCAGGAAATTCACCAATACCCCCCCACACACCCCAGTGACCCCTGTTCCACGCCCAGAATATGATAAAAAAAAACCTCGAGGATCACTGGGGGCCAAACTGGCCTGGAGAAAAATTGCTTCCTGGCCCCAAAGTGGCGATCAGCATTTCCCTGGGCATGTAAGAAAGGGCCACAAGAACTAAGCACTGATGCAACCCTTCCTGCTCTACCTCTCGTGATTTGCCTAAGTTCACACAAACAGCATTATGATCCTTTTAAAGTTGAAAGCATGATATAAATGCAAAGGACTATTTGTAAGATTATCTGTAAGACACAAGACCAGGACGCATCTCACTTCTGGCAATCACTTGGAGAGACCCTATCACTCAGCTTCCATTGCCCCACACACACCCCACACTGGAATAAGAACATAATATCATGCCATACCACATTGCAATAAAGCCCCTACAACTGTATACAGAAATACTGAGCTTCCCTACCATTTGCCACAACTAGCCCACCACACAACCAGGATCAAGACTCCTAAGTGGACCAACAGACAGGAGAAACTGAGTATT